AAAAAAAAAAAAAAAAATTATTTAAAACATGATGAGGCACACACTGAAGAAAAAACAATCAAATACAACTCAAATAAATGAAAACTATATTAATCACTGAAGTGAAAACCTCAATGGACATATTGAACAATAGATTAGAAAGTAGACATTTAAGAAATTACCCAGAATGCACCCCAGAGGACAAAGAAATGGAAAATATAAGAAACAGAGGATAGAGCAAAATCTAACACATGTAGGAGAGCCTGGGTGGCTCAGTAGTTAAGCATTAGACTCTTGATTTTGGCTCAGGTCCGAATCTCAGGATTGAGATCAAGCCCCGCATCAGGCTCGGTGCTCAGTGGGGAGTCTGCTTGAGATTCTCTCTCCCTCTACTCTCCCCCACCCCCCACTTGCACTCGTGCCCACTCGCGCCCACTCGCACTCTCTCAAATAAATAAATAAAATCTTAAAAAAAAAAAAAAAGAAAAAGACTACAAAGAATGGAAGACAAGGGCACCTGGGTGGCTCCGTTGGTTAAGCGTCTGCCTTCGGCTCAGGTCATGATCTCAGGGTCCTAGAATTGAGCCCTGTGCCAGGCTCCCTGCTCAGCAGGGAATCAGCTGCTCTCTCTCTCTCCCTCTGTCCCTCCCTGCCCCTCCCCATTCTCTCTCTCTCTAATAAATAAAATCTTAAAGAAAAAAAAAGGAAGACAAGCAATAATCAAAGAAACAACAGATGACAATTTTCCATATAGATGAAAATACTAAATTTACAAATCAGGAAAGCCAGCAAATCCAAAGAAATTTAAAGCCAGAGACAATCATCAGGAAACTGCAGAACTCAAAGACAAAAAGATCTTAAAATGAGCCAGAAAGAAAAGACAAAGTACCTACAGAGAAATAACAACACTAACAGATGACATCTCTACAGCCAACAACAGAAGCCAAAATATCTTCAAAGAACTAAGACAAAATAATTGGCAATCTTGAACTGTGTGACAGAGAAACTACTACAAGAAAAAATAAGATTTCAGACAAACAAAAATAGAGAATTTACAATCAACCGACACTTTCAACAGAATTTCCAAAGAATATACCTTAGGAAGAAATTTATCCTAGAAGGAAGTTCTGGGAAACAAGGAAGAATGGGTGAGCAAAGAAAATGGTAAACACGTAATAAATAAAATAAATACAATGAGTATATAAAACAAGAAGTATCTATAACATGGTGCTAAAAAGAAAACGAGAGAACACTAACTTACCACATATAGTAGTTTTTAAATTATAAAGAGAAGATCTTAATTCTAAAAGTACTGTACTAATTGGGATAAATGTGATAAGGTTGATTAATTTTATTCTTTGTTAAATTAAATAAAGATGTTGAAATTTCCTGGGCAACCATCACAAGAACAGAGGCAAAGAATATAAATTCCAAACCGGTAGAGAGGAAAAATGGAATGAAACAAGCAAACAAAAGTCAATAAAACAATTTAAGATATGATCAAGAAAGGAGAAAATAAAGGAAACTACACTGAACTCAGTCTTCACCTGTCACTACTATGCTACTGCATTTTACTTTCTTTAGCACCATGAAAATCAAGTCTGAAAGGGTGATAAGGAGACTCACATTAAAAAATGATGCTCAGACTTTGGAAATGCTTTCTTTGGGACTAGTGCATTTTCCTAAGGGAAAGAAGCAGCAACTATTAGGTAAAAAAACAGATCAAAGGTAATAAGGGAGACAATCTGTCAATATTTCATAAAGGGTTACCAAACTTAGAAATGGAGAAGAATTCAAAGCCAAACATTACATTGACAAGCCTTGTTCTGCTCCCCAAAATGCAGGAAGTTTAATAAAACCAGCTTTTAAACAATCTCATCATAGTACATATTCACATCCTTTTCTGTGCAAAAAAATATAAGATTACCTAATTACCTGCTGAAAGTGGTAACCTCTGGGGAGAACCAGGAGACTTATCAGTGGGTGAGGAGGAGACTTATGCTTCCTTTTACACTCTTTCACAATCTTAAATTTTTTTTTCATGATTTTTACCTCTTTTTTCTTTAACAGATTTATTGGGACATAATTTACATGAAACTCACCTATTTAATTCCTACACAATCATTTTTATTACAGATGCAATTTTTTTTTTGAAGATTTTATTTATTTGAGAGTGAGCAAGAGAGCACAAGCAGGGGGAGCAGGAGAGGGAGAGGGAGAAGCAGACCCCCCTGATGAGCAGGAAGCCCAACATGGGGCTCAATCCCAGGACCCTGGGACCATGACCCAAGCCAAAGGCAAACTTAACCAAGTGAGCCACCCAGGGGCCCTGCAAATTGTTTTTAAATATCCTCTACTCAAGGGGATGGAAAGTACAGCTCAGGGAATACAGTTAATAACACTGTAATATATTTATTGTGGTAAGCATCTCATAATGTACATAATTGTTGCATCACTATGTTGTACAAATGAAACTAACTTAATATGTCAACTATACTTCAATTAAAAAAAAAAAAACCCTCTACAACACAAAAAGCATTTTCTTAAGGAAAAAAATACAGCCTGGGGTGCCTGGGTGGCTCAGTTATTAAGTGTCTGCCTTCGGCTCAGGTCATGATCCCAGGATCCTGGGATCTAGCCCCGCGTCGGGCTCCCTGCTCTGCGGGAAGCCTGCTTCTCCCTCTCCCACTCCCCCTGCTTGTGTTCCCTCTCACTCGGTCTCTCTCTCTCTGTCAAATAAATAAAATCTTTTAAAAAATAAATAAATAAATAAAAAGGAAAAAAAAAGAAAATACAGCCTAAAACAGTGTTTTTTCAACTGATAGGGACATAACCCTCTAAGGAGCCACAGACTCACCCCTTATTTAGCCTTTGAATTTACATGTTAACCAGCCACAGTCTAGAGATCATAGAAACAAAACATTTGGGGCGCCAGCTGGTTAAGCATCCAACTCCTGGTTTCGGCTCAGGTCATGATCTCAGGGTTGTGAGATTGAGCCCCTCATCAGGTCCTGCACTAGGTGGGACCTGCTTAAGATTCTCTCCCTCTCAACCCTCCGACACTGTTGGTGGGAATGCAAGCTGGTGCAGCCACTCTGGAAAACAGTATGGAGAGATTCCTCAGAAAGTTGAAAATAGAGCTACCCTACGACCCAGCAATTGCACTATTGGGTATTTACCCCAAAGATACAAATGTAGTGATCTGAAGGGGCACGTACACCCCAATGTTTATAGCAGCAATGTCCACAATAGCCAAACTATGGAAAGAGCTGAGATGTCAACAGGTGAATGGATAAAGAAGATGTGGTATATATATATACAATAGAATATTATGCAGCCATCAAAAAATGAAATCTTGGGGCGCCTGGGTGGCTCAGTCGGCTCAGGTCATGATCCCAGGGTCCTGGGATCGAGCCCCGCATCGGGCTCCTTGCTCAGCAGGCAGCCTGCTTCTCCCTCTGCCTCTGCCTGCCGCTCCCCCTGCTTGTGCTCT